AACTTCGTTGCTTGTATCCTTACGATTTATATTGATATTCATTGTTTCCTGATTACTTATTTCATTAAGTGTTGCACCTTATGATTTTTGACGAATATATCTTGTCTTTTCATGTACACTGAGAGCATCTGCACCAAAGACAAATTCCTTGTGTGTCCAATCACACTTGGCCAATAAAGAATTCTATTCTATTCTATAATTTTCTCTCAGGTTCAGCAACCTCCCTGAGGAACTTCTGTTAAATCCCCGAGGAAGATTTCCATTAGCAGAATTACCTGAACAAAAGGTTTGTCCCCCGAAAATTCTTGGAGAATATCTTCTTCCTCTGAGAAATTATTCACTTAATTTGTCTGCTCCCAAATTTGGTGGACAATTTCAAAAGGATCCTTCAGGAACTAGCTTTTTTTTCCTTTTTTTGGCTGCATATTAAAACTCAGAGGAAGTGAATTAGGTATATGGCAAATCAGTTTAAAGCTTTTTCTGCCATTTTGCCACAACATTCCCTTGAATGGGATTTTGCTACTTTTCTTAGACATTAGCTCCACTTATACACAATAAAACTTAACCTATTTCTGAATAAAGAAGCAAAGTTAGCCGGTTTTGGAACTATATGGTTTCTTGTAATATACTGTATTGACTGCAAACAGAACTACAAGTGTTTAAGCTAACTGGTTTAAAAAGGATTAAACGGCAGCCGGAGCTAATTTAAATTACCATAATCCCCATTGGAGTGAGAATTTATTCCTGGGCAAAAAAGTATGCATTCAATGGTGGCTTAAATTTTAATTATTCCACAGAACATAGAATGGACCTTTGGAATGGGATGGCTGCAAACTTCACTCAATGGTGATCAATATCTGAAATAAAGATTCTGATTACTACAAAACTGATATTCTAATATTTGGTGGTTGGGATAGATAGATCCATTTGATGGAGCTGCTGACAATGTAAAGGTTTTTTTAATTAAAGAAAAATTGTTCCATAAATATGGCAGGTTTCCAAAGGCAGCAGAATTAGATTAAGGTGACCAGATTTTCAGATTGGTAAAGAGGGACACCTTTGACCGGGGTTGGGGGTGGAGGGCCTTGATTAAAAATTTTATACGGAGCAACAAAATTTTTCATACAATGCAAAAATAGTATTGTAATGTTTTTTTTTATTTCAACATAACTACAATTTACAAATATAAATTGTANGCGCGATTCAGCGCTCATTCGTCGGAGCGCTTTAGAACACGCGGTTTTGTCACCGCGGTTTAGTCGGGCGCGGTTTTGTCGTTCGCCCTTTTGTCAATGAACCAATCTCATACATGAGTTTAGAAGCACCTATTTTTTCCTAACATGATGGTGGTGGATGGAAGAATTGAATTCTACTGTCATGCATGATTTCATCTAACTTAGCTACCATACAGTTGCATTTCACACTTTTAAAGCTGGGGGAAATGTATTATAATGGTGTGTCCGCAGACTGGAGCGTTTTTTCTAATAGCTCTTGGGTCTTGGCATTCACACTTGTTGACAATCATGTTCACAGCTTGGAAATCTTTGGACATAATTGCTTGATCAAATAACAGGTCCCTGTGACTAGGGGGCATTTCTTCTGTAGTAAATGTTGCCACAGAAATTAGAAATCTGTATAAGTGTATGTAAAATTCTCCTTTTGTTTGGAAGTCAGTGTGAATCTCCCCATTTTCATAAATGTTCGGGTCTGATCTTGGTTTGATAGCTGTGAAGCCAAAATATTAGTATGTTCATGGCATAAGCCTTGCAAGCCTTTTAAAATGCATCTTCAAATCCCCTCCAAGCTCCTGACATCCTAGCTAACCATATATTTGCCCAGTAATGTAGCAATTTAAAATGTGCAATTTATATTCCAATGGAAATCTCACTGGCATAGGTGATTATTCTTCCTGTTTCTACTCATGAAAACAGGAAGGATGGTTTACATCAGGCACCTCCAAACTTTTAAGACTTGTTGATTTCAATTTTCAAAATTCCCCAGCCAACATGGGGAAGTCCAGTTAAAGTCCGCAAATCTTAAAAAAAAAGTTGCCAAATTTGGAGACTCCCGGTTTACAGCAGGAGCAAGGTTTTTAAAAAGCCAGGATGGGACATGTTTTTTAAAGACAAACTTTTAAAAAAGCTACCAGTCTCTTGGCCTTTTTTGTCCTCTGCCCTTTACACATTGTTTGATTTCACACACATAATGCAAAGCCAAATTCTGCCTTGTTTATTTATGGCATGGCATGTATGAACCCCATAAATTGTAGTTTGGAGGTTGTCTTCATTTCAGATGCTGGACACAAGCTGGAGAGTGCTTTTACATTTATGTACCGCTAATGTGTTTTCCAGAGGAATCCTGAGTTAAGTTCAAGTTAAGACAGACCCAGAGAGATGTATTTTTTTAAAAACAAAACCTGTATTCTGAGTAAATTATCAGCATGCAGTCTTAAAAACATAGATGAAAATCCCAGTTGTTTAGAAAATTATTCTGAATTGGGGACAGATTTGGTGATATCACTGAGGAACACTAACTAATGCAATAATGAGATCCTAACTGTAAAGTTATGAGGGACGCGGTGGCTCAGTGGCTAAGATGATGAGCTTGTTGATCAGAAAGGTCGGCAGTTTGGTGATTCAAATCCCTAGTGCTGCATAACGGTGTGAGCTCTTGTTACTTGTCCCAACTTCTGCCAACCTAGCAGTTCGAAAGCATGTAAAAAATGCAAGTAGAAAAATAGGAACCACCTTTGGTGGGAAGGTAACAGTATTCTGTGCACCTTTAGTGTTGAGTCATGCCGGCTATATGACCATGGAGACGTCTTCAGACACCGCTGGCTCTTT